AAATTTCTTCGCTGTTTGCTTGTGCGTTTGATTTGTGAGGAGCTCTAATAAAGCTGTAATAGAGAATCATATACGATAAATGTACAACTTGATTTGTTACGATTTACTAGATCAGCGTGATTTTCGGTGCACATTTTTTAAATCAATCTTGTAGGAAGAAGTTGCGTTTATTCATAAACAGATTCGTGACCGTATCTTCATATCGCGATTTAAGACTCGAAGGCGATTGACCCGTCGCGAAAAGGATTTTGGACCGAAACATCGAACACATTAAATGGACCCCTTTCGTACGTGCAAGCGGCGCCATTAGCTTTCGTGCTCCCTTATTAATAGTTTCGCCGCACACCTTTTGCTCTTACACGGCTTCTCAGGCCCTGTCTAGCCGACGGCCTCGACTTGACCACCCGCGATACGTCGGCGAAGTTTATAAAAGGATAGCCGTGATAGCCAGCGTAGTAAATTTCTAATGTGGAGTAAGGAAATTGAATCTTACTTTGGGGCTCTCTCTCTCTCTTGAAACTTCGTGCAAAATTGCCGATGAATGAGATATATATATGCGATAGAACAAAAAATATACCAAAGGCTATTAAACATCCTGATATATATATATTTTTTTTTCTAAGATTTTTATTTAATATTTTTGTTAACACAATTTCTAAAAGATAAGCAATTTCTAACAATATTTTATTTTTAATGCTTCGCGATCCGTTTAGCAGTTGAAGACTGTAATAATTTCACAAGAAAGACGTGCCAAAAATTATTCAATCATTAATACGTCAACAAGAATAAATTTCTTTTTTAGAATATGAATAAATAATGCCTCATTATATATTTTTATTTAATAAATATATCAATAAGTAGATGCGATTACAATTATATTGATAAAATTTTTAATTTGCGCTATATAAATATTACACAAAATATTGCCACTTTTTTATCAATACATATATGTGTTGCATAAGTTTCTAAACAACTTAAAGATTATCAGAAAAAATAGACATCACGCTTGTGTAAAGTATTCGATGCGATATTGAAATATTTAATTAAATATGCAGTCATTTCAAGAATTGACTTACAAGTCAAAAGTCGCAGAATTGAAACAGGAATGAAAATAAAATACGCACAGTCAAGTATGGCTTTGTGTGCTAAAGTTATATATATTTTCGAGCATTTATCATCAGCCACGATAATTCAGAATTTCGCCGGATCAGATGCGAGATTTCCTTTCCTTAAGCTGTCGTCGCTTAAGTATCCGGTCCTTAATCCTCGCCGATGTAGCTCGACAAATCGGGCTTAAAATGTCCGTTAATTATGAAATACTTGCATTCTTTCGAATCGAGTTCGAAATAAGATGTCGCCAGTCTCGTTTCACGCTATAAGGCAAAATTCTGGATTATCTGTCTTTGATTAGTTTTGCACCTCTATCGAGGATTCTTCAAGGTTTCCAGATAGCCATGCTCTAACCGATTACGCGGTTCTTGTTTACAAATAACATGCAAATCTATGATGTCATTTGCTCGTAAAATAATGTTTATGAATGAAAATATCGCGAATAACGAACTTTTAATTAACATTGCTCATTTAATCATGACACGGAAGTACAAAATCAACAGAAAAGGGGAAATTGCGATATTGCGTTGCAACAAGCGTAAAGATACGCACGCCACGCTACAGTATATAATGTTTAAATATTTAATGACACTGTAGAAATTTATAATTTTCATTACTAAAGCGAAAGGGTTACCTTCCTAGTCATTAGAAGCTCGTTAACAGTCATTTCTCCTATAGAGTTAGATCTCTGATGCACTCTGAAATCCATAAACCTCATCAAAAGGTTAAGCTAATTTTAGATTTTGTTTCTTGTTTTTGGGGAAACGTCATTAAAAGCACGAGTTAATTATAATTTAAGGAAAAAACATTTTTTCCTAATGTTTGCGAAATTTTTTATCTCCATGCTTATTATGGTCTATATTTATCACACAGAATCACGATGTTATTCTCGTTATCATTCACAAAGTTTCGTGAATGAGTCAAAAAGTTTATCCAATGCCAATGTGGGTCACGATCTTGCAAGAAGTATTTCCGACATTGATTATAATTAAGCAGAAATAACTCTCGTCTTCTTCGATAATAATATTATCTGAAGCACCGGATCTCTTTGAAATTTCTGTCATTATCAGACTTAAGCGACAGATTTATTGCTTCTCTCATGCTTCTTCCTTTCTTGTTTTGAAAGAACCTTTTTTTCGTTACTGAAAGTGAAGCAAAGCTTTAATTTTGAAACATTTAAAGAGCACAGAGAATATCATCAAGACGCATTAATTAATATAGAGGATAAATTTTTTTTCTTTCTCAAAGAGTAATTTATAAAATTCGATACTTTATAAATTGATTCCTTTATAAATTGATTACGTTGATTTTAAATACAACTCTCGATATAATAAATCTTTCGTTTTACTTTTACATACGGTAGCGGACTCTCTTAATAAGATCATTAAATTCTCAAATTTATTCATTGTTGTTTTCACAGTTTTAGAGAAGACGTAAATACAGAGTTAGAAACATGTTTTACAGTTAAATCGCGCTTTCCGATCAACACAGTTATTTCGCATCTTTTTTTCTCATTTCCTCTTGATTTTATTCGATAACAGTCGATGAATATTTATTCCTTGGTCAGTTACGTCTCGTTTTATTATTGATTGCGACGTATTGCAGATAACATCGCCGTATTATTATCGAAAAATATACATGTACACGAATCCGTAAACAAGAAAATCGTCCGCTTACTCGGTTCGCTCCGCGCGTCGATTATCCGATCACGGATGCTATCGACATTCCTAGCTAAAGTCTCTCTTGGTAAGGAAGACGAACGAATCTAGAAACGAGATTCTACCGGTTGAATTCCTCGATGATTGTTCCGGACGGGGCGACGTAGCCTGATGTCGCGGCGCGATCGCACGGAATGTATAACTTCAATTATCCGGGACTGAGATTAAAGTAGTTGCGCCATTACCGAGGACGTTCCTTGTCGTCGTCGTCGTCGTTGAAGCATCACATTGGTTTTGGGCGACTTCCAAGCAACGATACTCGTCGTCTCGGCCACTTTAGGCGCACGTACGTACGCGCGTACTCACGTAGCGGGCGCATTACGCAAAGAAAGCAATTAGGCGGTAAACAAGTGGACGTGCGGCGGAAGCAGATGGTTCATTGATTTGCCCGGCGAATGATGCGCGGAAACGATGTCGGCGAAGAGGAATGGATGCCTATAGGATAATTTAAAGCGGCCAAGCCGCGCCGCCGGTTACGTGATTTATGTAAATGCCGATCATGCGCTCGCGCGGGCGAATAATTAAGCCGGACGAAAATGCGTTAACGACATGTCGTATTTATATGCGTTCAATGCTCTTTGGCATTCTATTCAAGAACACGAAGGACTCTGCACATCTGCATGTATCTTTTTCGAATTCTGAGGATAATTTTAAAATTTTATTATTATAGTAATCGGTATGTAAATTTTGATTGTGCGCGATTGACAGTGGTATATTTGACAATTTTATTAACAGTTCTTTGATGTGGAAATTTTATTGTTATGACCAATAATTATAATTATGACAAATTATGACAAATAGTGAAAAAATTGAGATATAAGTTTCTACAGCTCTAAAGTTTTTTTGGGTTTTTTAATAATCTTTACAATAATGAATTATTTAAAAAGGGCTTGGTCGTTTTGCCACTGTTATCGCAAGTATCAGGTGAACGCTAATTTTATACTTGATTAATGATACATATGCTCTATACAATTTTATTATTATAATATCAATTTTACGAAAAAAAAATTTTATAATGTATTTTATCACATGAAATAACATATAATATTATCTAATTATTTATATATTTATAATTATGCGTTATAAAATTTAAAACATGGACTAATTTTTTCTAATATGTATATATAGCTCTATCATTTTTCACATTTGTTAAATCAAATATAATCTAATATATTTTCTTAATTAATTGCGAGTGTAACAGTGTCTTTTATTATCAGTGTACAGAGTATACGGAGAACTTTAGATAGGGTGACAGTTCTATTAAAGTTTTCCCATTAACAGACTTCACTCGAAGTTTATAGTTAAACTTTAGATAGAGACTTCATTTGCACGTGTTCTTTGCCTTAACCCAATTCTCACTCCTCCTTAACTCAATTTCACACGAACAAACAAATGCGCGAGATTGCAAATAGGATGGCACTTCTTAGCGGTTAAACGAGTGAAGTTTCAGCAAAGGTCAGTGTGGTCTAGTTACGAGAACGATATTCTTAGAACGTCTGTCTTCTCGATTTAGTGTACAGTAGAAACTGTTCCTTTCGTCAATATTTTTTTTTTTTACACTGAGTACTTTTAATATCAAAGTAGCCTCAGTCGATTTAATTAACATTAATTTTGTTTAAATATATTTTAATCGGTTCTATGTTAAAATCTTTGCGTAATAGCTGTGGAAAATAGACCTTTAGAACTTGAAATCGAGCGTAAAACGATGTTTGCGAGATGACGTTAATATTTTTGATTCTTTTAAATAAAATAATATGTGTTTCGTAAATTTAACAATAGGAAATGTCAAGCTGCGATCAGCTGATCGCCTGATTATTTGTTCGACAATTCGTTTTAAACAACAATATTAAACGTTCGAAATTAAAAATCAAGATAATCAGAATATTAATTTCAAAGCTTAATAATTCTATAATAATTTTAATTATAGCAAATATCTTTCTCTCTCTTATTTTTGTGATATATTCTAATGCCAGTTGAAATTTTAATTTTATAACATAGGTCTTTTCGCTTAATATTTTCTCAGAATCGATAAAGATATTAACTCTATTACTCAAATGCGAATTAGAGTACATTAATTAACTGATGATTTCTTAAGAGATAATAGATTCTTTGGGTTTAAATTCTTTAACGATTGATTAATTATCGAGCGAGATAACATGAGAAAATACTCACTGTAATCGGAGGTATCGTCATTGGAACCGTTGACCGTGCCATCCGGCAGGATTTGTAGATGACGATTCTTAATGTACATCTGTATCTTTCGCGAGGCCCCGGTGATGTGCGAGAGATTGGCCGATCTTTCGGCGCGGGTGCCCGCGTCGCCGGTCAGATCGATCGTGCCTGCACTCACTGCACGAATAATCGCGCCGAAGCCGAGAACACTCGCGGTCGGTCTCGCACTGAACTTAATCACACCCGACGAGCCGAGTCCGCATCGCCCGAAGGCGACGAGGAAGAGAAGAAAGGCCAGTTGAAGAAACGAGCGGATGCGGTACGCGCGCCTGTTTCCGATCCTCTTCCTGTCCTGGCCGAGCCTTTCGATCCGCTTCTCCGAGCGTTCGTCGCCTCCTCCCGAAACGCGACTCGATCGCGCCTTCTCGTCAAATCGCTCGCCGAAAGGTCCCTCAACATCCTGGAGATCATCCTCGAAGGATCGCTCGTTCGAGCGAGTACGCGAACGGTGACTAGAGAGAAGAGAACTTTCTTCCGTTATCCTCGTCCTTCCCGGATAATCGGTCCGATAAGCATCGAGATTCTTCCTGTCGCAGACCGCGGGCCGCGAGTGTCTCGTCTGGGATCGATCCTGGAGACTTCGACGCCCTGCGATCGAGCCCGCTATCGCGGGGTCAGATTGTTTCGTCTCGACGTCGCGTAGCCGCGATTCCACTCGCTCTTTCTCCTCGCTCTCCTGTGGCTTCCACGTGACCTGGAGACGCTCGCGAGCATTCTCGATCGCCGGCGGGGATTCCCTCGTTGCGAGATACGCTAGGAGTCCGTCTCCTCTTCGACGTGGTGGTTGCGTTGATGACCGATCCGTCGATAGGGCTGTCCCCTCCCGATCGCCGATTCTCGGAATCCTTGCGGATGAATCGAGCACGGAGAGTGATTTCCAGTCCCGGTGATCCAACGTCGGCTGCGCTTCTCTCGCGTGAGTTCCGATCTGTCGTCGCCGGTCTTTCAGGGCTCTCCTTCTCGTCCCACTCCGTCCTCGGTCCTTGTCGATCCTCGGAAGTCTCGGGAAAATCGACACGCGAATCGGCGTCGCAGTCGGGCGATCGGCACGGGAATTACAGTGCAGCACCCAATGCCCGCCCGTGTCAACCTCAGCGGGCATGACGGTCTCATCCGACACTTCTCTCTTTGCTCTCCTCCACCTTAGCCGCGTGGTAATAGTTTCCCGTAGGATTTATCGCCGATCGAAATTTATCGTCGTCTTCGTTATCGCCCTCCTCGTCAATACGGTATCGATGAAGGCCGCGCGCGCTGCCAGCTGGCATCACAGCCGATTTCCGGTCACTTCCGTTCTCTGAAGGTGCCTCGGAGAGACGTGGAACGTGAAGAATAAGGGATCCGGCTGTCGCTTTACCGTTACCGTCCATGCATCGTTTTCGCGTTCTCGATACTCTTGCATTATGTCAGTTATCGCCGATCGCGCGTCAGTAACAATGTCGCGATCCAGCTGATCGTCGAATCCCAAAATGATCTATCGCGGATGAGAAGCGATGAAGTCACGGGACGACATCAAATCGACGATGCTACCTCGCGAATTTTACGATGGATAAACCGATCGAAAAAATAGATCGGGTTTTACATCCGAGAATATATCGCCGAGGATACTCGACACACTGCAAATGATCCTGGTAGTGAATTGATCCGATCGGCTCTTGGCGACGATGATTGGCGTGGCCGATCTTCTTTTAAACGGTTTTGTCGCGGTATGCAGGTTGACGTTACCGGTTACTTTCGACTACCTCGCTCGGTCCTCGTCTCTCTCTCTTTTTCTCTCTCTCTCTCTCTCTCTTTCTTTCGTTCTTTCTCTCTCCACGTTGCTATTAATCGGCGAGAGTCGACACGCGTTACCTCACTTAACGGGTTTCTCTCTCTCTCTCTCTCTTTCACCTCTTTCTCTTTTTTTCTCCGCCGGATTCTTTCTGCTAATTTGTCTCACCGATTTCCGTTTTTTCCGATTTTTACGCACGGAACAATCCTCCCGCAAAAGATGGGCGCTAGTAGATCCCCACGTAACGCACTAACACTGCTCACGATTATTTATCACCATTCGCAGAAAGAACATAAACCCTCCTCCTCTCTTAATCGACATCTCACGATAGAATATTCCTGTCACAAACTTCCACCAATTCACATGACAGCAAGGGGATGAAAATCGAAATTGATCTGTAAAACCGATCACGTGCTCCGACAAACATCCTTAAAAATACTCGGAAAATATTTTGAGCTCATCGGCGAGATAGACCGGCGTCTGCTACCGATCTCTTTCATCAGTTTCGGAGGGGGATACGAGAGCCAGACGATCTCACGTTCGCGCGAGGCGGTATCGGGGAGCCGGGCCACGCGTACCACACACGCAATTGTCACAGGGGGGTCGCGGCCGGGGCGCGCGCGCGCGGGGTTATCTCGCAGGGTCGGATGATGCCGGTGCGGCGTCCGAGAAACTACTGAACGAGTGCCGCGGTTCTCTTCCCCGGCTCGCCGGGTTCGGGCACGCTCCTCGGTTCGCTCTCGTAGAGAGACCGAACCGGCGCGGCGGCGGTGATCCAACGTCGTCTGCGCTTCTCTCGCGTGAGTTCCGATCTGTCGTCGCCGGTCTTTCAGGACTCTCCTTCTCGTCCCACTCCGTCCTCGGTCCTTGTCGATCCTCGGAAGTCTCGGGAAAATCGACACGCGAATCGGCGTCGCAGTCGGGCGATCGGCACGGGAATTACAGTGCAGCACCCAATGCCCGCCCGTGTCAACCTCAGCGGGCATGACGGTCTCATCCGACACTTCTCTCTTTGCTCTCCTCCACCTTAGCCGCGTGGTAATAGTTTCCCGTAGGATTTATCGCCGATCGAAATTTATCGTCGTCTTCGTTATCGCCCTCCTCGTCAATACGGTATCGATGAAGGCCGCGCGCGCTGCCAGCTGGCATCACAGCCGATTTCCGGTCACTTCCGTTCTCTGAAGGTGCCTCGGAGAGACGTGGAACGTGAAGAATAAGGGATCCGGCTGTCGCTTTACCGTTACCGTCCATGCATCGTTTTCGCGTTCTCGATACTCTTGCATTATGTCAGTTATCGCCGATCGCGCGTCAGTAACAATGTCGCGATCCAGCTGATCGTCGAATCCCAAAATGATCTATCGCGGATGAGAAGCGATGAAGTCACGGGACGACATCAAATCGACGATGCTACCTCGCGAATTTTACGATGGATAAACCGATCGAAAAAATAGATCGGGTTTTACATCCGAGAATATATCGCCGAGGATACTCGACACACTGCAAATGATCCTGGTAGTGAATTGATCCGATCGGCTCTTGGCGACGATGATTGGCGTGGCCGATCTTCTTTTAAACGGTTTTGTCGCGGTATGCAGGTTGACGTTACCGGTTACTTTCGACTACCTCGCTCGGTCCTCGTCTCTCTCTCTTTTTCTCTCTCTCTCTCTCTCTCTTTCTTTCGTTCTTTCTCTCTCCACGTTGCTATTAATCGGCGAGAGTCGACACGCGTTACCTCACTTAACGGGTTTCTCTCTCTCTCTCTCTCTTTCACCTCTTTCTCTTTTTTTCTCCGCCGGATTCTTTCTGCTAATTTGTCTCACCGATTTCCGTTTTTTCCGATTTTTACGCACGGAACAATCCTCCCGCAAAAGATGGGCGCTAGTAGATCCCCACGTAACGCACTAACACTGCTCACGATTATTTATCACCATTCGCAGAAAGAACATAAACCCTCCTCCTCTCTTAATCGACATCTCACGATAGAATATTCCTGTCACAAACTTCCACCAATTCACATGACAGCAAGGGGATGAAAATCGAAATTGATCTGTAAAACCGATCACGTGCTCCGACAAACATCCTTAAAAATACTCGGAAAATATTTTGAGCTCATCGGCGAGATAGACCGGCGTCTGCTACCGATCTCTTTCATCAGTTTCGGAGGGGGATACGAGAGCCAGACGATCTCACGTTCGCGCGAGGCGGTATCGGGGAGCCGGGCCACGCGTACCACACACGCAATTGTCACAGGGGGGTCGCGGCCGGGGCGCGCGCGCGCGGGGTTATCTCGCAGGGTCGGATGATGCCGGTGCGGCGTCCGAGAAACTACTGAACGAGTGCCGCGGTTCTCTTCCCCGGCTCGCCGGGTTCGGGCACGCTCCTCGGTTCGCTCTCGTAGAGAGACCGAACCGGCGCGGCGGCGGCGGCGGCGACGGCGGTGGAGGCAGCAGCCGAGAGTGAAACCACCAACACTATACTACCAGTGGGACACACGACTCGGCTGGCTCTACTCAAACGTGCCCGTCGTAGCAGCATCCGTTTCATCCCATCCCGCGCTCACCGGCTGAAAGAGCCGGCCGGTTAGTTAGTAGCCGTCGTTGTCACTATCGTCGTCGTCGTCGTCGTTCCGTCTCGTTTCGTCGCGTCAAGATCGTCGTCGCCGTCGTCCCGTTCCGCTTGGTATCGTCGTCTCGCTGCCTGTCCCGCTTCCGTCCCATTCCACGGCAGCACGCGACAGATCTGGACGCTCGCTCTGGACGTATGTTCGCTACCGCGCCAGCATCACCACCACCACCACCACCATCATGACCACCACCATCGTCGGGACCACCACTACCATCGCTACCACCACGCGCCGCAGCTTTTTCTATCCCCTCTTCTTTTCTTACGCGAGCTGGATAGAATCTCTTCTTCTTCTCTTCTGCGTTAAAAGACTTATCCCTATCTCTGTTTTATTCTTTCTCTTCCTCTCGGCAGCTCGCTTGTCCCGACTTCTTCTCTCGTCTATCTTTCTCCTCTTCTTTCACTCCACTCTTTTCTCTTCCACCGCGGATTGTCCTTTAATCCACATGATCTATCCCAGGTCTATCGCAGTAACGTGAACAACGTGTTCTCTATTTCTCTTTCTCCATGTACAAATCGCGGAATAAGAGAACGACCGGGGGCTATTGCTTCGTCACTGGTTGCAGGAAGAAGAAAACAATCGGCGACAAGGGCCGTGAATGACGTGAACACCTGCGAACTTTAAAAAGTAAATAGCGCGTCCATGTTAGAATTTCTTCGTTGTTTCTTCCTACTCTCTCTCCCTCTTCCTCTTTCTGTATCTTCCCTGCCGTCACCTTCCACCTTCCACCTTTTGATAGGGCGGCTTTTGACGTTTCTCTCACATCGACCGGCATACACGCGCAACTGGAATACGATCGGATGCTGTTGCTATCGCTGCTCGTTTCCTGCGGCTGCCTTCTTCTTCCCATCCTCTCTTATTCAAGATCGAAAGTCGTCCGGATTAAACGATATGCTTGAAGTTTCTGGAAACACAAAGTAGATTATTATATTCAATTAAAATTAAAGTTAGTGAGTTAACTTTTAATATTAAAAATGAGAATAACTTATTATCTATTTAATTGCAAAGATTGCCTCATTACTCTCTCTCTCTCTCTTTCTCGCATGATTTGGAGACTATCTAACAGTGACTTATGACGCTAAATTGAATGGCTTTGCGTAAAAGCATGTGCGCGATCGATTGACTGATCGACAGACATGAGACGATATACATATATACCGATTCTTTCCTTACTTGGAGGAAACTCGTCGGGGCACTCTCAGAAATGGAAATGTCCGCTTCTTACGTGCGCGCTTTTCCGCTACGTCGGAAGATAATGGAGAGATACCTCTCGCCATGCAATACGACGAACGCATTTCCGATGCCCATGTCTTCCACTTTTTAATTACTTTTTCTTATAGCTTCTCATATTTCCGATATTGTCGGGCATGTCATGTACATGAGAAAAGACGCGAGTACAGGGTGTACGCCATCAAAATGACTGGATTATCGATTTTCTTTCAATAATAGAATTTTGTAATTGTGGTTTGTCGCAAATTTATTTTATTTAAAATTTTTAACATATACATATACAGGGTGCGGCATTTATAGTGACGCGGGCATATGCACTCTGTATGTGTGACAACAAAGCTTCATTTAATAATTGTTGAAATAAAATGTGATTATATATCTTCGATTAAAAAATAATATAAAAATATATAAAAAAATATATTAATATATAAAAATAATATAAAAAAATATATTAATATATAAAAATAATATAAAAAAAAATATATTAAATAAACTTGAAACTATCAATATGAGATACTTTATTTCAATTCGTTCCACTCGTATTCGGTATATCTGAAATATCTTATAGATGATTTGATATATCAGAGATATCTCAAGAAACAATGTTCCTTCTCTGCGATAGGAAGAGGAAGAGTTTTCTGTTCCGGTGGTCCGATTACGCAATTATTCGTCGTTTTGCGATTCAGTTGTTAGTTTTTGAACACGAGGGTAAGTCATTTAAAATTGTTCTTACCGCGTTGCTCGTAAATACGAGAAGATACGAAAGGCGTCCAGATAGCGGAAAAAATGAAATAAACGAGCCCCGAGTGACCTGCAACAGAGAGTTTTCCAAGAAATATATCGAAGATTAAGACACACTGACATTTTTTAGTCTCTACTCTAACATTTTTATTTATCTCGTAGTCCACAGGCGTTTTTCAACGTTGCTCTACATTTTGGAACATATTTTTTCAAGATTGGAATAAAACGGTAAATAAAAGTACAGGAATAATATAATAATACACGTAAATAATAAAATTGTACTCTTCGCTTCTCTTATAATTTCCCTTTCCTTAACGGAATTTTGAACTGTTTAATTGGCAGGATATCTAATATGGAGTTTGATTAAGAAATGTAGAATTGAGATATATTTGATTTGACAAAAGAAAATTTACGAAAAAACCATAAAGATGCTATTGCAAATATCTGAAAGGTATTCGTGCAGTTATAGAGTCCCCAATTGTTTCTGAATGAGTTGGGGAATGTCCGCTTGAAGATAACGATATCGAGTCACTCACAAAGATGGATGGATCTCTGACAAATCTCTCTAAAAGAAATTTAACAATGGACCTCAAGAATCAGCTTTAAGAAAGCTCGTCAGAGATTAAGTGACACTATTGATAGTCGTTTCCTTTGTTCTTAGAACAATGTAGAAAGGAGACAGATAAAATTTTTGTAGAAATTTGAAGGAAAAAGATTTCCGGAAAGTCTTTGCAGTACTGATCCGTTAAAAAAAATCGCTTCTCATAGACTTTTATCGCGCGTGTTTATTAACATAGAGTGATGAAAGTGGCGAATATTAGAATTTATTAGGTTGCAATTTATGTGTCAGACAAAATTGAGATGAGTCACGTAAATCTATTTACATAATATATGCATAATAGAGAGAATTGAATGTTATATCAAATACAGTGTAATAGATAGATAGACACAATTTTTTGACGTTCTCTTAATAAATATTAATGATCGCTCTGTTGCTCTCTAGAAAGTCATTGATCGCAGCTGCGCAAATACCAATGAATGCCAGTCTGGATGCTGTGCGAGGGAGAGGAGAGATAGGTAAATGAAATGGTGAGATAAGTGAAATATAGTGCAATAAATTTATTTATTTATCTATCTCGGACAGAGCTAAGGATAGATACGTGTTATTCTCATAATTATATTGAGATGTACATACAATACTTCCGCGTACAAAAATTATATATTGAGATATAAAATACAAAAAACTTCAAGTAAATGTTTTTTTTAAATAAAATTTCAAGCTCGGTAGCAATGTTAAAATTCAATATTGGAAATTTAAAAGTTATTGGGAAAAGTCAATTCCAAATTAGACTATTCTTGAACGATGTTGTAGAAAAGATATCTAATCTTTACAAAATGATATAGCTAAACTATGTGTGTTAGAGCATGTAAGTCGTGAAAAATGTTTTGTCTATCTTCTCGGATAAAATGTAGATTTTAAGCTTATGTATAGATACAATGGAACTCGAAAGCAAAAGTAATTCGCCCAACGTGGGGCTCGAACCCACGACCCTGAGATTAAGAGTCTCATGCTCTACCGACTGAGCTAGCCGGGCTTGTTATGCCTGCTTATGAAAGCAAGTTTATTAACAAAAAAAAAAAAATTTATTTACGTTATAATATAAATATTATA